AAAAAAAAAAAAAAAAAAAGAATTTGTAGCTATAGGACTTCTGAGTTTATGAAGATTAGAATAGTATTAGATAATCCCTAGGCTGCAACCTCTGACTACGGGTCAACTGTGATTGACATTTAGTAAAAGTTTAAGCTGAGACATTTACCTATACTTAAGATGTCTTTAAGGCCGGGCATGTCGGCTCACACCTGTAATCCTAGCACTCTGGGAGGCCAAAGCAGGAGAATTCCTTGAGCTCAGGAGTTTAAGACCAGCCTGAGTAAAGTGAGACTTGTCTCTACTAAATATAGTGAGGCATGGTGGTGGGTATCTGTAGTCCCAGCTACTTAGGAGGCTAAAGCAAGAGGTTTGCCTGAACTCAGGAGTTTGAAGTTGCTGTGAGTGAGGCAGATGCCATGGCAACCTAGCCTGGTCAGCAGAGTGAGACTCTGCCTCCAAAACAAAAACACAAGATGTCTTTAATTCACAGAGTTGTGTGTATTTTCTTTTCTTCTCTATATTTTGTGTCAAAATATTTCTTATTCTTTAGATTCTGTTTATGTGGGTACCTTTACATTTCATTCCCTCGCCTCGCCTCGTAGCTTTGGGTATCTGGGTATGTCTCCTGTTTTTTTTTTTTTTTTTTTTAAAGGCAGAGTCTCACTTTGTCGCCCCCAGTAGAATGCCATGACACGTAGCTCACAGCAACCTCAGGCTCCTGGGTGCAAGCGATTCTCTTGCCTCAGTCTCCTGAGTAACTGGGACTACAGGCGCCCACCACAACGCCCAGCTATTTTTAGAGATTGGGTATCACTCTAGCTCAGGCTGTTCCCCAACTCTGCCTGCCTTGGCCTCGTGGAGTGCTGGGATTACAGGTATGAACTACCACATCTGGCCCTGTCTCCTGGTTTTTCTTTAAAAAAAAAAAAAAAAAATTTACCCTGGGTGGAGTGCTGTGGCATCATAACTCACAGCAACCTCAAACTCCTGGGTTCAAGCAGTCCTCTTTTTTTTTTTTTTGCCGGGGCTGGGTTTGAACCTGCCACCTCTGGCATATGGGCCCTGTGCCCTACTCTGTGAGCCACAGGTGCTCCCCCTCAAGCAATCCTCTTATCATAGCCCCTGAGTAGCTGGGACTATAGTTATCTGCCACAACATGTGGCTAATTTTTCTTTTTCTTTTTTTTTTTTTAGTAGAGATGAGATCTCACTTTGCTCAGGCTGGTCTTGAATTGAGCTCAAGTAATCCACCCTCCTTGGCCTCCCAGAGTGCTAGGATTACAGATGTGAGCCACCCACGCCTAGCTAGAAAAGTAATCTTCTGTAGAGGGCTGTGTCAGAGACTTTGAACTAAGGAAGAATGGTCTATAAAATCTCTAGTTAACAAAAGCACCCTCACCTTGGCTTCACTTTGATAACTAAACTTTGGAACCCCTGAGACCATTAATTACATATATAAAAATACATTCAGAATAGAATGAGCTAGTGGCGTATAGAAACACTTAAAAGTTATGAATGACCCCCAACTGTCATCCCATTAAGCCTTTTAAACCTACCTGAAGATCATTTGATTTCAGAGGTTGATTTCTCCTGATACATCCAGATTGTCTCATTCACAGATGCTACTATCACCAAAATACTAAAAAGGAAGGTTATGGAGTGTTGCATATTTTGAGAGAGAACAGTCACATCTGCTCCTGACCTAGTGAACCTAGTGTCAGTGGAACTGATCATAGTACACGCAGAGGCAGGTGCCTTAACCCGGGCCATTACGGCAGACTGATACTAGCAGTAATGCATACTAGTTGGTTTCTTTTCCGGCCCATTTTCATTTGGGTCTGTCAACTAAATTCGGTAGCAACTGTCCTGTAGAATTTTCTGTTTAGTTATGGTACCCTTTTAGAGATCTTCAGAATTTTTTTTTTGGATTTGTGTTATTTAAAGGCCAGCTAATCTTTCTGAGCTCTTTTAGTTTTCATTTTTGTTTTACCAATTGCCTGAGGGTATATAGTGGGAATACTGTCCTTTGCTCATGAGAATGAGTGAGATCTCATCAAAAGCCGTTGTTATGATAGGCCATTTTGACTGGGTAATACACAGCATAGGTGCTTTTTGGTTTTCCACATAGAATTAAGGTACTCTATCAAATGGCTACTGTTGCTTGCAAAGGGAGGAGAGATGAACGGAGACGCTTTTGTAACGACCATAATCTTTACTAATTAAAAAACTGGTGAATGTAGAACAGGTTGAGTGGTTTGGTGTTACCTCGTACAAACCTCCAAAAGTTGGTTGTAGATAGTTTTGAAATCATCTTAGCCTACCAAGAATCATCATAAATCATCTTATTACTACCAAGATAGGACAAGCATTGGGGATACTTACCCATTATGTAGTTGGTTTCTATAAGGCTGTACCTGTTGTTATTTACATGGGTAATAATGGTTTTAATATGATATGCCATTGGAGGAAAGATAAGATATGCTGGTAAAGAAGTTAGGACAAGATGATATTGCCAGAGAAATGCCTCAAACACATCGAGATATTTCCTCCATGCTCTTCTTAATAGGACCTGCTAGTTGTCACACTATCTGTAACTCATCCTGAGGAGAGTCACCTGGGGTTATCTACACTCCAGGCTCACAGTACTCTCCATGCTTCTCAGTGGTGACTTTCCTTGCTTTGCCTGAGTTCTTGTGCCTTTCCTCATTGTTTCTATTTGGCCGTTTAGTCTCTGCCTTTTGCTGAGCCTTTGTAAGCCTATCTATTCTTTTGAGACAGAATCTTCCTGTGTTGCCCTCTGTAGAGTTCTGTAGTGTCACAGCTCACAGCAACCTCAAATCAAATTCTTGGGCTTAAGCGATTCTCTTGCCTCAGCCTCCCAAATAGCTGGGACTACAGGTGCCCACCACAATGCCCAGCTATTTTTTTTTGTTACAGTTGTCATTGTTGTTTAGCAGGTCCACGTCGGGCTTGAACCTGCCATCCTCAGTGTATGTAGCTGGTGCCCTAAGCACTGAGCTACGGGTGCAGAGCCAAGCCTATCTATTCTGCCTGTTACTGATTGGCACTGTGAACCTTGAACTCTCTCTCTGTTGCCCTTTGATGTAATTATGTTTTCTTAGATTCAAGAGTCTTGCTCTGTTGCCCAAATTGAAGTCCAGTGGTCATAGCCCACTGCATTCTTGAACTCCTAGGCTCAAGTGATCCTTGCACCTCAGCCTCCAAGTCGCTGGGATTACAGGTGTGCAGCACCACACCTGGCCCATTTTTTTACCCTATTTTTTATAGAAATGGGATTTCACTATGTTGCTCAGGCTGGTCTTTAACTCCTGGTTTCAGCAATTTTCAAGTGTTTTTCTCTTAGATTTCATGATTACAGGTGTGAGTCACTAAGCCCTGTCTTGTTTCCCTACTTCTAATCTATATCTGCATGTATGTAAATGTATGTAAATTTTGTGACTAGAAACTGAGAGGAAGGGTGGCCAGGGCGGGAATGGAGTAAACTGAGGAAGAGAAAATGAGGGGGAATGTGTATGCGGGTGGGGAAAGGAGGAGAAACAAGCGGTCTGGGAAGGAAAAAAAGAAAGAAATGGGTCCTAGGTTGGGAGGAGGAGACAGAAGGAAAGAAATGGAAAGGAAGGTGTCCTGGAGAGGTTGAGAGCAGAGAGTGGTGGGAGAGGGCGTAGGGAGAGGGAGGGGAAGGCTCGGCTGGGGCCGGGGAGAGGAGGGAAGCAGGAGAGAGCAACCGAGAGGAAACCTGTTATTCTCCCGTCTCTCCTGCTGTTTCTGTTTTAATCAGGTGGATATGTTTAATGAAGTTACTGTAGAATATTTTATTTTTTTCCTTACTTTTCCTTTAACTCACTGAGTTACCTCATAACCTTTTGCTGATTATTCATTGTTAATCATGTGTATCCATTGCAACAAGTGACTACTGCAAGACACTGTGCCTTTTTCTTTTTTCTAGACGTTGAGAGTTAACCTGACAGAAGGTAGACTTTGTTGAGAGGGTTTCAGCTTTTGAGCTCTTGATGCTTATGAGGTCTGTTAATATTTACATAGTTGATATTTGATTTTGAGGAGGCAGCAAGAAGGAAACCAACTGAAAGTCAAGGATGAATAAGGATGGTGATTGATGAGTGCTTATTTTATCATGAATTTTCAGTTCTTACATTTTGCTGCTTTGGATTTATATTACGCAAGGGGAGAATATACTAAGGAGTTACTGTAGCTTCTTAGTGACTATTATGCAGGTGCCTTTGCATGAAGTAAAACTGAAGCATTATGAAATCAAATAATAACCTGCCCCTGAATGTGTACTATCTCAGAACATGTTGTTAGAAGATGTGGTTTTTTCCTTGTTAACTGAGAGAGTATGGCTTGATCTTGGCTTATGTTCTTTTTTTTTTTTTTTTTTTAGACAGAGCCTCAAGCTGTCCCCCTGGGTAGAGTGTCGTGGCATTACAGCTCACAGCAACCTCCAACTCCTGGGCT